GCTCTCTCTCTTTCTCTCTCTCCCACATATCTTTCTTTTGTACACTTTCACGCTCTCTCTCTCTCTCTCTCTCTCTCTCTCTCTCTCCCCACCGCGCGCTCTCTCTCTCTCTCACTCTCTCTCTCTCGAGCGCACCCTCGCTCTGTCTTTCTCTCCTTATCTGTCTCACCTTCGCTCGCTCTCTCTCTTTCTCTCTCTTCCACATATCTTTCTTTTGTACACTTTCACGCTCTCTCTCTCTCTCTCTCTCTCTCTCTCTCTCTCTCTCTTCTCCGCTCTCTCTCTCTCTCTCTCCTTCTTCCACATATCTTTCTTTTGTACACTTTCACGCTCTCTCTCTCTCTCTCTCTCTCTCTCTCTCTCTCTCCCATCTCTATCTCTCTCTGTCTGCCTGTCTGTCTGTCTATCTTTCTCTCATTATCTGTCTCTCTCTCGCGCGCTCTCTCTCTCTCTTTCCTCTTTGTTTCGGTCCCTTTCGCTTTCTCTTTATCTGTTCATCACTCTCCCTCACGGCTAAATCCAACAATTCACCACCTCAACCTTCTTGTTAAAACGACTCAGGTTTATAGATTCTTGTGCAAGCGGGGGTTCCACAACGTGGCTAAAAACCGTCAACTAGCTCCCTCCTTATCTTCACACGCAGTCAGCGATAGTTCTACCGGTGTAGCCTCTTCGCTCCCTCTACAGTGCCCCTGTGTGCTTTCCCCTGGTAGAGCTAAGTCGGCGACAACTACACAACACACTACAACTGTAATAACAGTCAGTGACAGCGTACTCACAGCAATGTCACCGCGCACCTACTCCCACTATAGTACTCACGATACGAACACAAATGAAAGCAGACTAGTACTTATAACGACGACATATATCCGACATTGCGCTAAGAGCGAGGAAAGTGAGTTTTCGTGGAGACATGCATCGATCTGGGTTTTCGCTTCCGACATGTTCTTGCTCGATCAACTAGCTTTCCTATGCTAAGTTACACAGGCAAGGGAGACAAGCAACACAGACCTAAGTGACACAGACAACAGTTTAAGACAGGAACACGGGGATTTAACAGTACAAATATTGTTGAATGCTAGCAGCTAAAAGACGTGACACGACGTACAGAACAACGAAGAAGAAAGACAACACGTGAAGATGGGCCGTAGAAAAAATGATAAAGCATGCACGAAGGGAAGACAGGAAAGAGCGTGCGAAAAAGAAGAGCGCGCGCGCTCCAGCGCGCGAGCGAGACAGAAACAGAGAGAGAGAGAGAGAGAGAGAGAGAGAGAGAGAGAGAGGAGAGAGCAATCGAGCGAGTAGAGAATAGCGAGCAGAAGAGAGAAGAAGAGAGGAGAGAGAGGGAGGCAAGCGATGCGAGAGAGAATAGAGAGGAAGACATGCGAGAGAGAAGAGAGGGAGAGCGACGAGAAGGAGAGAGCGCGAACATAGAATTATACGGCTTAAAACAGGAGACGAGGGCAGTGCGAACGGATGTCACACCGCAGAAGACAGACAGAGATAGTAGATAGATAGGGGATGAAGTAATGATAGATAGAGAGGAGAGGAGAGAGAAGAGAGAGAGGAGGAGAGGAGATGAGAGAAGATGAGAGCTGAGAGAGGAGAGGAGAAGAAGAGAGAGGATAGAGAGAGAGAGATGAGAGACGGAGGGAGGAGAGAGGAGCTATATGAGAGGGAGAGACGACGGAACAGGACGAGAAAAAAGAGAGAGAGAGAGTGGAGAGGAGAAGAAAGAGAGAAGAGAGAGACTGAGGGGGCGAGAAGAGAAGGGGGTAGAGGTGAGCAGAGGGGAGGAGAATGAGTAAGATGAGAGAGAGAGAGAGAGAGAGAGAACCGGCGGCCGGGCCGGGCGCGGGGCGGGGGCCGGGGGCGGGGGGAGACTTTATTTCAACACGCACGTATTGTGAGAGGCAACACACCGCCACACACAGACAGACATAGACACTCGCCCCTTGTTCACAGGCAGAACCTTGCAGTGGCAAAACTGGCCCGCGGTGCACTGCTCTGCTGTGTGGGTGTAAAGGTAAACGCAGGTAAACGAACAAAACCACGCGCCGCATAATTGTCGCAACGACCTCTCGGTAAAACCTCAGACTCTCAGAGACAACAAGGAAGAACAACCACCGCAATAAGCGGGCGTGCAAAAACATGCCGCCTCGCCGCTACGGCCGCTGACGGTAGTGGTACACAATTACGTTGTGGCGCGTTCATGCTGGAATTAAGAGTTACGCTCACGGTTAGGGTTAGGGTTATGATTAGGTTTTAGGTTTATGGTTAGGGTTGGCATTATGGTTAGGGTTGGAAGTAGGGTTAGGGTTAGGGTTAGGATTAGGATTAGGGTTTGGGTTTATGGTTAGGGTTGAAATTAAGGTTACGATTAGGGTTTTAGTTAGAGTTAGGGTTAAGATTAGGATATAGGAATTTGGGTTAGGGTTAGAGTTAGGGTTAGGTCTACGTTCGGTGTCTACGCATTCCATTCAGTTTTACTATAAACATCAGGAGTCTATCAATAGTCTATTGTCTAGAGTCTAGAGTCTATAGTCTATTGTCAAGAGTCTATTGATAGACTCCTAGCTGTAAACATCACGCACTACCGTTATTGTAAAGACTGAGTATGCGTGCTACGCGCGCCATCTCGCGGAGCTAGGCGCCTCTTCTCTTACATTACCAATTCTCTTATTGCTACCCACTCTTTCACTCTCTCTCTCTCTTTCTTTCTTTCTCTGTACGACTTATTGACTAACTCATTCACCGTCTGTCTGTCTGTCTGCCTGACTGACTGACTGTCTGACTGAATGACTGATGTATGACTGTATGTGTGTCTGTCTGTCAGTCCGTCCGTCCGTCATCTGTACTCTCTCACTATCGCCTCCACTCAGTCCGTAGCTACTACAAAAGCATGTATTCAGTGCAGCAGGTATAATCTCGTGACCCCGCAATTAACCAAACGGCCCATCATAACTTCGCTTTGCGTTGAGTAAATATCGCGAGAAGCAACGAGAGCTGGAAACATGGCCGTAAAGTCAATGACCATAACGATTGCTGTGAGTGTGATTCCTGCACCTCCCATATCCAGCACGAACTTTGAAAGAACAAGAAGAACCGGCGAGGTGTTTGCTCTCCGCATTCATAGTTAACCCCGGCACAAGGCGATGCGTACATCAATACTAAAAAAATATTTACACAAACTCACATTCGAAATATTATGACAGTATATTGGTAGGGGGATATGTAATGGTTGTTAGAGCCACACTGCCGAGGTATGGTAGATTTATTCTCTCCTACAATGGTTATTCATCCCATTTCAAGTTGCAGCATAACAATCGTTGTGTTACCGGTATTACAATGTTATCATTATATTATTACGTTATATTATCAGCATTACAATGTTGTTACTGTAGGGAACTGCAATTGGTTGTTACGTGGCTTGCGCGCAAAAAACACGCAAAGTACGAAACTACTGCAGACGAGTAAACATTCGTCTGACAGCTGTTGTGTTTTCCTTCAAATTAAACCCTGTCTTTTTTTCAAACTTGAATTTTCCTCTACCAAATTGTTTACAAGAAACTGCAACTGTTGCGTCTACAGGTTTCTTACTAATGGCTTTCTTTGATTGATATACGCAACGAGAAATTCTTGCTACCCGCTAGCTCGAAACAGCACTCACTGTTCCCATAAGCCACATCGAGCTAAACACAGGCATATGATATAATGTCATGTCAACAAGCTCAACGAGTATGCATACATCTAAATTGTATGTTGAAAAGCTGTAATATTAGGACGTCTAGCATCGAGTTCATTGGTTTACCTGTCGCATGGTACGCGTGACCCTAGCGACAGGTACATTTACATCGCTCTCGTATAATAAGAGTTCCATTGTAGCTTTGACCAAACTAAAATCCTCCCACGTGCGCAAAACCTGCGCTACCCAAACATCGCAAAAAGGGTGACAATGGGCATGCATACGCAGGTGATTTAACCCGCAAATTAATAATACCAATAAAAAACGCAATGTGCCCTAATAATAACTACCCTTTCGCATAAATAACCTCAGATCTGAACCCACCGCTAAAAAACACCAAATTCACGAGTGCAGTTCAAAGTTTCAAGAGTACATACACTCCCCACACGACCCCGCACCCTACCCCGACCTCACGTAACATGTCTTCGCATACACTCACGATGGCGGTTTAAACCTACCTTAGTGAAGAACACTCCTCCTCGCGGCGCGAGTTTCGGCGGACCGACGCTGTGCGCGGGCAGCTCCTCGTAGAGATGATCGCCGGTTAGGTCGTCTGCGCTGTGGTAGCATCCCGAGCGATGGCGCTGGAAGCTGCTTCCCGATCCCATCCTTCCCAACCCGGCCGCCGCCTGTTGGGCGGGCGAGTAGGAGCGACGCTTGCCGTGCTTCAGGCGGCCGGGAGCGAGCTCGGCGTAGCGCGCGATGTCCGTACAGCTCCCGAAGAAAGACATGCTTGAGTCTGTTGTTCCGTCTCCTGCGAGTACAAGCACGAAGCTGTGTTAGCGGTCATCTGTTTATAATAGATACTTTGGAGGCATTTCACTCACTATGTCCTTATATGTACTGGTTTGTCTAAGAAGAGCGTCATTATACATTTCACCGTGAGGCGATATCAAATGCATGTCCAAGTGAAATATTTGTCTCTGAACAGAAGCCCAATCCTGCGAGTAACTACTAACTACAGAGTAGAATATATTATATATATATATATATATATATATATATATATATATATATATATAGGAGCGTTCTTATAAAATTTCAACATCGATAATAGATTGATTCTAAAGGCCGTTGAGAATCAAGTTATTGTGGGCTAAATCATTATGGACCAGAGCGACTTCTGATATCATATCATTATGCTACATCAGCATTCGAAATTTTGTGCATTTGAAGTAGTTCGGTTGTATCTGAGTAGAATACTATTGCTTCGCCTTATTTCATTGCTGTTGGATATTTATTGAATTCACGGCGAGCTGTTGGTCTATGTGCATCTATAACGCAACCAATGTGACGTGAAAGCGGGAGTTGAAAGTTCTCCATTACTACTGACGGGGTTTTATAACTCATCTGGGCTGAAATAATACTGACTTGCCGACGCCATACAGGAAATGTGCCACAACCTTGAATTCATTTATTACTTAATTTCATTAAACAGTTAATTAATCGTGGCTTAATTGTGAAAGTGCAAACGTAACGGTTACCGGGAAACTTCGCAGATATAATGAATGAATCAATGCACGCCTTTTGGAGTGAGAAGCGTGTCTGATAGGTGCCGCCACCTAGTGTACGCTAACCGAGCTAATCTCACTTAACATAACCAACCGTAGACGTAGCTGCTAGCTGAAATTCCAAATTAAATTTCAAGCGTTATGTCACGATCGCATAAATGTACGAATTCGCAATGACTCCGTGACCATCTTACGTGTACACGTGTTCTCAATCATCAGCGTCTTATATTTTCTACTAATGTCAAACACGTGTGCACTCATAAATAAAAACATCATCTTACAGCTCATGCAAATGAAATCCTGTTTCTTGTGATGCAAAAACGAAGCGCTGGCTATTCAGTCATCGGTTTTTGTAGATCCCGTACAAATTTTGTTGAACCGCTATAACACGCCACAGCCAGCGCCGATATCAGTAAATGAATCGAACACGCAGGTTTCTTTCTTATTGCCGCAAAAAGAAGGAAACTAAAAACTACAACTTTCCAGCTCACCACGGCTCAATGTCGGTTATCATCTTCGTTACCATTTAATCTTCGCCATCTTGTTCAAACAATGTCCTTTTTTAAAATCAATTTTACTAAAGGCCACAATAGGCATCAGGACTGTGTCACCTACAAATGTGTACATACAAACACCCAACACATACCAGCACCAATACCACATTTGTGATTGATGATTTTTTCTGAACACTACATCACATTTTTATTCCTACAGGGGGGGGGGGGTAGAGTGATCAGAGAATGTTTAGACCAGTGCCGTGTAACCCACAAATATGCTACACCAATAAAAATACTAGCCGGAGTACTATTGTAACTATAGATAGAGAGAAATTGTGTGCTGCTGAGATCCGTCAGGGCTATACTCAGGTAACTATAATAGCTAAGCATGGCATCATGACCAGGTGACACTGGCATCCACTTAGCGTAGAAACGCAACACCTGGCTACATCTGTGAGACCGCTGACATAGATAACGCTGCAGATTTACTACTTTTCAGGCTTAACTCTTTTAGTAATAGGCCGCGCTATTCGTTATATTGACTCCCCTTCGTGGATTTACGACCCAGTCCGGCCATCTGCACTCGCTCCATGGGACCTTGGGCAGTTAATTTAATGAGACTTAGGAGGGACCAACACAATGACTAGTTGCACAATGCATGCCTACACTAAAACTCCATCCTGGAACTGCACGCGGCGCTTTTCCAAGCACCCCCACGTGCTGATGAGAAGAGGAATCTCTCACGATAACACATTTTGTATAAATATGATTGCAAAAGATATCCGAGATATGGGAAACAGTGAAGCTGGGCTCTTCCCTTAGGGTTAACCTACATTATCACTATCTATTATATACTCACTAAGCCAAACGTTTACCCGCCCGAACATGCGCACTTCAGCCCCAATCTCGTCCACATTCCTAAAGCCACTAAGAATGGCTGTAGAGTCACTAAGAAGCGCTGGAACAGTTAGTCTAGAGTACTATAATTGAGTCGGCTGAAATGACCACTTTCTCACCTTGCACCGGATGTTAACCCTGTATGTGCTGCATATTCACTCCACATACGAACACACTATATTCCTTCCCTTCTCTACAGCACACTTACAAGCCTATGCACAGAATTCTTCAGCGCTTATCCCCACTTTTTGCGTACTCTCCGGGGGACGTAAGACACTCGCACGTGTCACTCTGCATTTCTCATGTACTCTTATCTATATCTATATCTATATCTAACTCTTATCTTGTGTTTTATAGACTGCTGTGTATCTCTCTATAGACTACACTTATGTACTGCGGGTATCATCTCACCGATCATGGCGTATCTCTGCTGGCTAAGCGCAGCCTGGCGCAGCAGGCATCTGTGGCGATCCACTACCAGCCCCGCTACCATCATCATCCGAGACATGTGAAACACCGAGGGAGACTTTATCACTAAGGCAACAGATGCTGAGTGACAGTGTCTCGTTGCCAGCTCTGTCCCAGCTGGGGGTTCTATGAGAATCATAGACTGTCTCTCTACGTCGTTGACTCTCTGACTCCCAAAGAGAATCAAAGACAGCTAATTGACAGGAGTATGAAATTAAAAGAACATTGCTATTTTTCCTTCCTTCTTCCCTATATTCCTGTAGAGGTTTTAGATTTCCCGGGCAAGACTATTATCATTATAAAGTTATATGGCTAGAACTCGTAACAGCAAGATGCCGGATGAATAGGCGATAAAAAAACGTTTTTCTGTTCCGGAAAAGTAAACGCAACTTCTCATCTGGAAAAGTACATAGTTACTTTCACTTTGTCGGCTACAGCGATGAAAATTAACACTCGCCCAGTCGGCCAAGGCAAGTAAAAATAAAGTAGTGCCCCAGAATTTTATCAGGTCGCCTAGAATACGAAGGTTTGGCTGCATAAGTAACAAACACTACATAATCAGTGGAATCACTGAGTTGAGAGTATTACGCTTACGCCAATATAAATCGCTTGCTATTTCCTAGGATTCCGATAGATGTTTGCCCGCGAGGATGAAATCTACTTCAATCTACACGTGAAACTGATAGGAACTGCTAAGAAAAGACTCTAGTCTATATTGCAGGTCTTTTCTGTAAATATCTGCCCTGGATATCCATGCTCATGATGCATAATAGAGCACCATTTCAGTGCCAATTTCCATAATCACTAATCCCAAAATTTCGCGCTTCATGCGATAACCTGGGCCTCTGATATCTTTACTTTGGGGCCCAGATCTGCTGGTGAATGACAAGTGGAAACGTGCTAATTTTGAACCCTGGTTGGAAATTACGCGTGGAGTCATTAAATAAGTGTCCTGCTGTACTCCGTCGGTGTCAGTCTACATGGATGCAGTGCTTATAAACTTTCGCCGACACGCATCGCTTCAAATGGAGCGTGAAATGTGTGGCGGGAAGATCTCGCAGTCTACCCATCAGCGAAGCGTCATCGGCCACTACCATCTGCTCCCGGCTTCACACGTTCCCCGCGAACCGACATCGTTCTGCATCCCAAAACAAGCGACACGTGACTTTCCACGGTGACGGCTGCTGCCGCAGCGTAAAAAATATCAGAAGATTCATAGCGCATTTAGCTCTATCCATGTACCACTTTGCTCCATCGCAAGCATATGGTGGAGAGAGTGGGTGCATAGATATAAGAGCTAAATGGCTACCGACTTACACGCGAATTGGAAATCATATAGAGAGGACTCTTTGTATACGCTGACTATCTCACCGTGAGATCTTTACAGCGAAAAGAATATAAAGTAAATCCGCGTAGTCTCAGTAACATCTGTAACTTCTCTATACATGACCAATTTGGCTCGTTATATGATGAAAGTGCGTAAATTGCGCTACATTAAGTTTCGTGAAAGTTAGTGAAATTTTCGCGCGGTTACGGATGCAGTATCACTGTTATTAGCAGTGTTAGTCGATACCTCAGTAACGGCACTGCTGTACCGCTTCGTGGCAGCTGGCCGGAGGAGGATGGGGAGGAGGCTGCGATACCTACAGGTGTCTTTCCCACCAGTACCTACAAACACGCGGGAAACGTAATTTCTTCCAGATGCGAAACAGTGGCTACGATTATCCCAGGGTCCCCATCACTCCACCCCGAAAAACGTGTAGCCAAGGCAACCAAATAGACGGCACCCGATCAGTTATTCTAATGGTAACAGTCACGTGAAAACGTGCTGGTGACAGTCTGGGCGCGCCCAGCCGTGGTTAGTTTCATGCAAACGTACCCACGAGACTGTTCAGTGGGTGAGAAAACATATTGGTTCTTAGACAGAGACACGTCTAGTTTCCACCGTCAGTCTAAAATTAGTCGTGTCTTAATTCCCACCATGCATCTAAATCTGCAAAAACCGCCGGCCAACTTTCGCGATGCACACGCACACGCCTCGTATCTTTCTGTTCGCCGATTCTAACCATTTTGAAGCTACGCAGATGCTGTGTACGAAGCTCAGACCAAACAAAAAAATAGGTGTGTTTCCGGTCGACCGACCGTCCCTAGATTATTAGGGCCGACCCGATAAAAAAAAAATTTTTAATTTGAAATCTGACAGACAAAACTTGAGATTTTTTACTACAAACACGTTCTGTACTTGCTTACTAACTTATCCCTACCTATACACCACTTTATAGCATGTATCAGAGGGATATTAGGAACCGAAGAATAAACAAAAAAATAAACAAAAAATAAATCCCTACCTACCTACCCTACTTTTGTTTTCGATGCAATAGGAAACACACCTATTTTTTTGTTTGGCCTCATCAATATGTATTAGTGTCCTGTGATGAGGCCACGCAAATAACATTATTACGTCTAGACATCCACAGTTTTTCATACACAAAAGTATACATTGTCAACCAGGTGCAGGCTTCTTCTCGTGTGAATTATGCATTCCCCCACGCACGCACGCACACACCTGCGAACAATTTGTCAAAAATCAGTCAACTTGTAGAAAATGTCGGATGACTTGACAAACTATATAAATTTCTATGGACAGAAATAAACACGATGCAAACACAAGCCAGAGCTGCAAAAATAGATGGAGCATCAGGAAGGTAATATAGACACAAGGGAAGAGTCTGATGTGTGGGCCCGGACCTGCTTCAACATTCGATATATATATATATATATATATATATATATACATCAACGAGACAAATGAGTTGCAATTAACAGCATGCGAGCAAAAAAACACTCGATGTTCTCACGATTACACCGCGCTGTTGCAGACGACGACTCATCAACCCTCGTTGAAACCTCAGGCTTACCACGGTCGGTAAGTAAGAAAAGCATTCACATATGAAAAGACTCTGAATGAAAAGAAGTCTTTCATTTCACTTCGTATTTTAAGACGGTTCATTTCTCCATGTCGCAGGGTGCCTGACACTGCCATGAGAATTTCCGCATTCAAGTGCGTTGCATATTTATGCCTGTTTCATCGACTCATTCACCGTCAATGCTTATCGCCACTGTTTATCATCATTATCACATCAAATACCGTGACTGCAACACACTATCCGTCTTGTTCTTGATTGAGTTCGACACGCTAATAAATGCTTTGGTCCTTCAATGCCAACATATAACCCCAGTCGTATAACCACAAAGCATTGTTTAATAAACGCCAATTTCACTTCACCTTGTAAGACTTACTCCCTACTAAGTGCATGCACTAAACACGCGAAAAACACTCGCGAAAGCGAAAAGAACTTCTGAGACTAGCGTTCCGGCACGCACACTTTCACAAAAAACCAGCAATCATGCACGATTAAACTGCATTTCCCATCGCGCGTGATCCATCATTCGTGAGCATCGTAACGCCCCCTGGTGCACGATGAACGAAAAATAATGTAGGGTGGAACCTTCTATTCATGTCTCGATGCATGACAATCTGGGATTGCATTCCTCGTGCTCGCATATTCCTCCCCCTATTCTCATGAATAGCCCCGAGAATTCTCAGACGTTGCATTACGAACGTAATCATGAATGTACGGGACGGACACGCCGAGGTAACACCAGTAGCCAGAGGGCGTTTTACGCGCTCCTCCTTAACACCAAAGATGTTCTTATTGAATCTACATACACGGAAAACTCATAATGGGATCTCACAGTTCTTCAACCAAAGCCCTTGTCAGATCTTATAGCGAGAAGGAGTGGAGAGTGAGATCGGGAGAGAGAGAGAGAGAGCGCGAAAGAAAAGAAAAAGGGAGAGAGAAAAAAGAAAGAAAGAAAGAGAGAGAATGAGAATGTGTGTGTGTGAGAGAGAGAAAGAAATAGAGAGGGGGATGGATATAGAGAGACAGAGAGAGAGAGAGGGGGAGAGGGCGCGAAAGTGAGTGGGCGAGTGAGTGAGAAAGTGAGAGCGAGAACGAAAGTGTGAGTGAGTGCGAGAGGGAGAAGGGAAGAGATAGGAGGCGAGCAAGAGAAAGGGGCATGGGCGTCACAACCGCGGTATTTTAGCGACAGATGCGCGCCGACAAGGGAACTCAGGGGCACTTCCTGCCGCGGGCCTTAGCAGCGTCGGGATTACGAGCATAGATGCATGTTTGTCGGCTTGCTGGTGGGGCACAGGCTGCTATAAAACTCGCACCACAATTGTTCATTATACCAGTCCACATGCCAGTGTCACGCTTTGTTAGCGCTGCACGGCCGCCACGGTGCACCTCGTGCGTGCGCGCGCGCGCGTGGTTGTACTAGTAATAACGCTCAACTCTAGTAAACGCTAAGTACTGCGTCGATTCGTGTTCGCATTGCAACGAGTCAAGTGGTCGCTGGATGTCGCGTGTCTTATGGATCTTACTCCTACGGGATGGCTACACTGTCTCTACTCTACTCTTAAATAAATCCTACCCCTACACCTGTAATTCTCTGAACAGCCATTCCATCAGGAGTTAATAAAATATATATTACCCCTTTAATATATTACTCCTTCCGTTAATATTCACTCCTTATACTATTACCTCTTCTGTCTCTAACGCAAGCAATGATATGCCGGATGGTGAAATAGCTAGAACATTTGTTGCAATTTACTACTAAATCCACAACTCGCAGAGAGAACACGCACAAGCGAAAGAAAGAGAGAAAGCGTGAGAGAGGCGGATAGGCGGACAGACAGGCAGGGACAGAACCAAAGCTCTGTTCCTGAGCGAAAAGAGCTACATCGGAATTACTAGAAGAAAGTATGTGATTTGTTCCCCGCTCGGGGACACCTGTACTTCACTGACTTGCTACACTGGTTAGTGGTCAGTAATGGTCCGCATGACAAGGGACAATAACCTAGCTACTGCAGTTAATAAAGGATAATAAGCCGACCTTTGCCTAACTCTATTCCGCCGAGAAAAGACGGAGAATACATTCTGTTGTTGCAGTCGCGACTTGTTTAATGCCGGTTTCTATAAGTCCCCTGAGTGCAACCTTGCGGTGGGAAACGGCTAGTTTTTTACGTCTCAATAAACCGCTTTAATTGCTACGCGATCCGCAATCTGCTATCTG